GAGGCAAGAGGGTTAAAACTGTAGATTGGATTTCACCCCGGGAAATCTAGCACGCCGAGTGAACTTGAATCTTTGGCTATTTAAGGAGGACTGGGTTTGTTGCGAAGTTGCGGTGATCCGGCGCAGAGCCCCGTCCTGATTGATCGCATCGCTGGGCTCAGATGACTGTAAAATGAATAGATGAAATCCTCGCTTCTCGAAGATTTTCTTGGGCATCTCCGGGAAAGTGCGTTTTAAGGCGAAGTCATGATGTATTCTCCCATCTGTCTCACTCAGGTACTTGTCTCGGTCGCTTTCTCGAGCTTTCTCTCTGGCCTCAGACGCCTTTGTTGTGTCTTCTTGCTCTTGTGCTGCAGATCCTCAACGGCTTTGCCTAACCTCTGCACACCCTGGTATCCCTAGTAAAGTGGCGAGTAGTGCGGTGGGCTGTGCGGGCGGCGTGGGACCATGGCTGCCGTGCGCTCCCAGCCCCGCGCCCAGGCGGGGAGAGCCCGGGAGAGCCGGCACTGGGCGGGCGAGGCTGCCCAGGGTGGGCAGGGCGGAAACGGGAGTCCCCGAGCCCCTGTGTGGCCCCCGGGAACTGGTGCCAGTGGCCGCAGCACCCTAACTCTTTGGCCGGCGTGCGTGGAGCAACTCCGACTTGGGAGCAAGGGGATCTTGGGCAAAGGGCTGAGAGCCAGGTTGAGCACCTCTGGGCTCTGCTGACCAAAGTGGGCTGGTGACCACCAGACTGAGGTGGTAGTCCCGGCGACCCATTTTTTTGCGTAGTTGGGAACCTGAAGTCCTAGTCTGCAGTTACCCGCACTTGGGTGTTTCAGAGACCCGTACTTCTGAGGCGATATTTAAGCTGACAAGAGTTCAGCTGGTTGTAGTCAATGTTTAGGACTTCTAAGGCATGCTTGTTTTATAGTGAGACTTGTTCATTTGGTGATATTTGAATATAACCCGAAAGGCATAAAATAATATCAGAAAAGTGAGGTCATTTTTTTTAACTTCGAAAATTGCTCTAACATCTAAGGAACAATATTAGGAGGTAAAACACCAACTTTATATTTAAAAACTAAAACCAGTTTCTATCTCTTCCAATCAGACGGTCAAATGAAAAAGTGGTTAGATCGAGCGACTTACCTGGGCGCGCTTTCATCCTTTCTTGGATGCCCAACGAACTCCCCAAGTGATGAATTAAATAGCCTAGTCCAGAACTGTTATTTGCAGCAGCTAATTAAACCCTTAAACTTATGGGACAGTTTAGCGAAACTTTCAAAAGTATGAATCAAGATTGGTAATAGAAATTTTTCATTGACATTGTCATAGAAACGAAACAGAAATGTCTAGTTTTGGTGTGTTAAAGTTTTTTTTAAAATCTAATATTATGATGATGCTTTTTTATAGTGAACAAATAATTAAGATTTCAATTGTATGACAATTAGAAACCATTGTGATTCAAAAGGACTGCGGCATTCATAAATTGTGAATGAAGATGAAAACAATGATAAGGGACATTCAGTGATTGGACACAGCCCTGTAGCTTTTTGGCTGACACATTTTTTATTGTTTATATTTTGTTTGGCATCTGAGTATGATTAACTTAGATATGGCTATTTTAAGCAAGTAAACGTGCACTTTAATTTAACAAAACTGGAAAAATGGGTTGTTGAGTTATTTGTATTTTAAAAGCTATGAATGATAGTAACCCACGAGTATGATGGAATTATCTCAGGTATAGCAAATTGCCTGTAGTTATAAAAGTTACTTTTATTTATTCATCAGCAGGCTTTTTTTTTCTCTCTTTCTGATAAACCATGACCATCTCTATTATTTCTTCATTGTGATCAAAGGAAGTAGATTAAAGTAAGCTTTTCCTTCACAAAGTATGGCCTGGCTTGTCCTCACCTGGAAAGGACTGGGTAATCGTGTGTCTCTACATTTGTATTTCTAGCTCTTGTTTTTGGGAAACTGCTAGCAATTCCATCACATTTTTAGTCTCCCCTAAATAAGACTCAAAAAGTCACCAGTTCCTTCTTAATTCATGTATGTTAAAACTACTATTGCAGAACCCAGACACATGGAATGTTAGGGACATAGACTGCACAGTCATCCAACTATCACATTGCTATTCAAGGACACACACTTACCAGCATTAATTCAGGATGATGACTATATATTCTTTGTTATTTTAGCAGTATAAATCTGGGTTGATACATTAGCACTATTTTTTTTTTTGAACTTAAGGCCTATCCCAGAGAAGGAGTTAGGGTTTTAGAATTCTCAACTAATAATTACTTTATGACTTTGTAGATAATTTAAGGTATTGCAAAAGTGAGAGTGCATGAAAGTGTTACTTTTGTATCAGATGAATAGTTTAGTTTTATGTTACAGGAGCCTGATAACTACCCCACAACCTGTTTTGAGGTATACAGCTACAAAGTAAGCTACATTGTTAATTTGTTAGGAACTTTAACAAGTACTCAGTTGTTACATTAATGCATTTAGGTTTTTTAAAAATCTTAATTCGAATGACTCTACCACTGAACTTGATATTTAGCTACCTGTTTGGTAGCTACAAGTCAGCATTTGTCGCCCAGTATGAATAAAAGGAAAATTAAGAAACATCTATATGTTTTAATTTTTTGCTTTATCTGCAGATAAGCCTTTTATATAATCTTCAGCTGGCATGATGATGTTTTTCTTTCATTGTCATTCAAGTTCTTTCAATATTTTCTTTTCAGGGTTTATTGTTACATAGTGATGAGGCTCCAAGAGCACACAGTATTTACTCTTCCATGGCTATGTTGGACCAATTTTCCAACCATTTCATGAAATCATTGTTTCTGTGAAGAAAAATAAATAAACCTAGTTAAATTAGATTTTTATGTTTATATTAGAAAATTTTAACTTGTCTATTTACTTTATCAATTTAGTTCAACCCAAGAAAGTTTTATAAGGAAAAGTATCTCACTGAACGTCAATGTATTTTAAGGAAAATTCTGAGAGTGAGTTTGCCTGTATATCTTAGTATAGAGACTTTAAATGTTAAATCACCTCCACGCTTTGATTTAAAAAGTAATTTTGATAATTGCTTAGTGTAATTGTGGCAATCTATTAGTGAGGATATTTGAATGCCTTCTTCCTGCTTATTTTTTCCACGTGAGGACAGCTACGCTCTACATTCATGTCAGTTAAAATTATTAAGCATATATTACAATGAAGCTTTAGGAAGCAGTCACACATGGGGGATGACATTTAGATATGGAATGCAAAAGTATATGTGACATATTGCTTCTCTCCACTTATCATTTTGGGACGGTATGTCTTCTTATCAAGCAAGTGTTCTACTTAAAGTTGAATCTGTATAATATGTATGCTCCAAAAGATATTAAGGCAAGTGGGTGGGCTGAGAAAGTTTGCTGCTTCTGTTTCTCAACAAAGAAAAGTTATGTTGAAAAACAATATTTGCTGTCAGTGACAGCAAACGCAAGACAAAAATTTTTTTTTTTTTTTTTTTTTTTTTTTTTTGTGAAGTGGCTAAGAGTTTCCAAATTCAACTTTCAAATTAGCGTCTTGGTGGTGTGATGCAATTATCTAAAATTTACAATTTGTTATATGATAAGATGATGTTTATTGTCAAGTATGAAATCTCAAAAATATTTTATCAGAAGTTATGTTTGATGCTCTTATAAGAAAACGAAATGTCACTGAACATAGTATTTAAGTATCAGAGTACTTCAGTGTTGCTTAATAACCATTAAATAATGCTGCATTTTAAAAAGGGTGCTAAGGGTAAAAGGAGCGGGACAAAGCACTCTCACCCATTCCCTGCATCCTCAGGGTTTTCATTTGTAAAATCATATCAGTATATCACAGTAGAAGTCAGATCCTAGGAAGTGAGTTCATATAGCACATTGAAGCCCACATTTCCTTGAGCAGGCAGGCTTTCCTTTTGCATGTATTTTGAGGGGGAGAGGATAAACAAAGTTTTTACAGTTACAGTGGGAGCTAAAAGCATGGCATCAGAAAGTGTATGGAGATAGGGAGGTCTTATCATAGGCTGTGGTTGCTGTGAGCAGGGCTGCCTTCCCACACAAAGAACAGATTGTGGTTTAACTCTTTCCATGGCCTCCTTTAATGTGCTCACATAGTAACTGAATTGTTCAAATCTCTGCTGGAAAGTACTGATCGGTTTAATTTCCTCCATGGCATTTGGCTATGCCTCATGCTGCGATGTAATCAGCTGCATTCTGCATTATAAAATTTGGATTCATTCTTAGTCGGCAATATGTCAGAACACTTGATAACCGTGCTATTGATTAGGGGAGTCTTAATACCTGTTCTGGGTCTGACCTGCAAAATATTAATATGTTGCAGTCTTCTGCACTCAAACTTTGAATTTCATCTTTAAAAGGCTTGCACAGAGATATGGAATTCAGGGGCAGTTTCTTTGTTGAAGTGTCATTAGTTTACGTTGATCACCTTTATCTTATGAGATTAGTCACTCTGCTGGACTGTTTAGTCTATGTACTTCAGAGTAACTAACATGAACGAGTAAATTCTGGCTTGGGAATGTAACGTATTAGAGAAACTTCTTTTGTGGTTAGGATGACAGAATAGTCAAAGTGACCAGAAAGATGGTCGTGGTGGAGTTCTCCTTTTAGTCAGTGCTTGGCTTATTGCATTCATACAGCGTGCATGTGTGGGATGCTGTTCTTTTTCTCTGAACAGCAATAGGCCTGCGCTTATATGGCCAGCTTTACCTAAATCAGGAAGTAATGAAATACTGACTCCACTTGGAGGTAACTGGAAATATTTGTAGGCAGGGATGATCTGCAATGCCTGATGGCACCCTCTGTTTAAAAGGTTCAGATAAAACAGGCAGAAAAAAATGTAGGCCTTCAAGGTAAACCACTTAATTCACTGGACAGTTAGGAGCTGTATGACTGAAGCACTTGTGGACTTCTGAGCACATGCATGTGTGTGCCCATAGTCCTGTCCCACGTTCCATCTGAGTGGCACATGAATTGTAGAGATTCCACAAAAGCAGTAAACGACCAGGGTGTACTCCTGGTGTCACCGTGCCACAGCATGCGGAGAAACAAAGAATGGAAAGTTGGTGCCAAGTTGCCATTTTTCCATTGTTCACCTCAGATTGATTTTTAAGGGGTTTGAATAATTGCCATACTCATGTGATCGGGCTAACAAATTAACTGACTCTGTGGGGCTTCAGAGACTGCAGGAAAGCTGTGGAAAGAACATCATGTCATTTTCTCTTCAACTTTAAAAACTATTTAAAAATGAAAGTGTGTGTGTAAAAGAGAAAGAATGTGTGTGTGTGTGTGTGTGTGTGTGTGTGTACGGGCATGTGCTGGGAGCTAATGGTGGTGGTGCAGGGAGAGAATACTCTGTTCAAAGTATGGAAACCTTGTGTTCAGGACACTGATAGACAAGCTGTGTCCTTTGCCCACTTTCCCTCGCTGTAGACCGGTTTCTCTAGTTACCACTCTTGGAATGGTGCTGTTTCAGTGTAGGAATGTTGGACGTTTGATAAGAAAATGGATCAAGTTTAATGGCGCATGCTCTTTGTGCCACCAGCAGCCTCTTACTGAGAGCATGCTCCAAAAGCGGGAACTGTGTGGCATTACAGTGAGCATCTACATGCTTTGTGTTTCTATGGCACAGAGAAGAGAAATGAGCTGTGCCTTCGTTCCTGCCTTTTGAGAAGCTCTGCTCCGGTTTAAAAACAAAATAACAACAACAAAAACAAAAACAAACCCACTGTGTTCCTTGTAAAATGGTACTGCATGGTGCTAGTTGGTCAATCAAATATTTAAATATTAAATTTGGTGCCAAGCATCTTATTTTACAGGATGTAGATGCATGACATTGAGGTGGGAACGAGGGGGATGGGAACAGAGCAAAAAATACAAAATAAAACCTTATTTTATCTGTAGGAGGGAGAACCAGTTTGTGAATTTTGGTTGAGAGGGGGCATACTTTATTTTCTTCCTGTCCTGATGTCTCATTCATTTTAAATTAGAAAATAATGTTATTCTTTTTTTAAAAATAACTTTTTCTGCTGAATTGGAATGGATTGCATCTTTTGTTTTTTTAGCATTGGAAATTAAACTGACTGTACACCTCTTCTTTCCCATCTTCCACAGGATGAATTCCACCCATTTATTGAGGCACTTCTTCCACACGTCCGTGCAATCGCCTATACTTGGTTCAACCTGCAGGCTCGAAAACGCAAGTACTTTAAAAAGCATGAGAAACGAATGTCAAAGGATGAGGAAAGAGCAGTCAAAGATGAGCTGCTCAGCGAGAAGCCCGAAATCAAACAGAAGTGGGCATCCAGGCTCCTGGCCAAACTGCGCAAAGATATCCGCCAGGAGTACCGGGAGGACTTTGTGCTTACCGTGACTGGCAAGAAGCATCCGTGCTGTGTCTTATCCAACCCAGACCAGAAGGGTAAGATTAGGAGGATCGACTGCCTGCGACAGGCAGACAAAGTCTGGCGTCTGGATCTAGTCATGGTGATCCTGTTCAAAGGCATCCCTTTGGAGAGTACCGATGGCGAGCGGCTCATGAAGTCCCCACACTGCACAAACCCAGCACTTTGTGTCCAGCCACACCATATCACAGTATCAGTTAAGGAACTTGACTTGTTTTTGGCATACTACGTGCAGGAGCAAGGTAGGAGCAGATTGTTCTTTCTTCTAGCACTGCTAACACTGTCCATACACCTCCAGATATGGGGTCGCTAGCTTGGGCTAGAGTGTCTTGGAGGCCTCCAGATGTCCTCTGCCGTCTCTGGGTACCTTGGTGTGCCCAGTTGTACTCCATGTCCATGGTCATTTAGGAGCCATGAAATTGACGTGGAGCTTTCCTACCTGGATAGGCTTCTCCATTTGAAGACCAAAGGACAGGCACAGAGTAGTCTAAGAAGTACAGTTTATTGCACTCTACTTTCTGTCGGAGGCTGTATCTCCTCCCCCCTTCTGAAAATGCAACTTTACTGATGGCAGTCGAAGCACTGTTTAATAATCTTTGTACTAGTCTCTTACCTAACGAGGTAGATGAACTTTGTTCAGGAATCTAGTGGCGGTTGTACCAAAAATCAAATTAGCATTTACTATTACAAAATGTCTAAGCTGGCCACTATCAAAATATATAACTGACATAGAGGCCTAGGTTTATGTAATTTTAATATTTCTATCAATAGTTCCTTTGATTGTGCAGTATTCACTGTAGATTTAATGCAACGCAGCTTTTATTTAAATAATTTATAATACTCCGCCAGAGTGACTTGGGAACACTTTCTATTATTAGTTTACTTGAATGCAAATTCATAATGCTTCCCAAGGAAGAAGTCACAGCTTGCTTTACATAGCATCACAGAGCAAACCAGAAGGGGACTGGTTACACTGGTTTAAAATAAATCTCAAAAGAATTCAGAGACTGCATACCGGACCGTGTTTAACGTCCTCGATAAAGAGGACTGTAAATGTTGCCTGGACAGTGCAAACTAGGCAGTGCTGTTGCCAAGGATTTTTGAGTTAATGGGATATGTTTCTTTGTTGTTTGTTTTTCTTAAGTAGGTGAGACTTTAGACTTTGTTTTCTTCCAATTGTATGTCAGAATACAGCCCACAGAGGAAAAGTCCCTTTAAGAAAACACCATCCCGAAAGTGGCCTCAAGTTTGGGCTGCCACAGATGGTGGGTCATTTCCGAACTTGGCTTGGTGGGAGGGAAGATGGCCTGCAGATAGCCAGGTGGCAGACAGTTATCCAATGCTCATTATATAAATGTGGGGTTTAATAAATTGCTATGTACTTTATTGTCATCCAGAAAAGTGAAATAAGAAAATTATTCTTATGACTCAGAACTCTAGTACTTACTGTGTGCCCTTTGTCTTTATTTTCCCTTGACTTAGTTCTGGAGCTACACTTGAGTGTCATTTCAGAATTTTTACTTTGATTTTAAATAACAGTGTTGGACATCATCATTTGGAAATGTATTTCCTAATAAACAAAATACCACTTTGCTGTTTTCCTGTGTTAAGAACTCAAATTCAAGTAATGTTGGGTAGGGGAAATATATTTTCATCTTTGATGTCCTAAAATAAAAGCTCTTTAACACATAGCAATTTGATTGACAGCTAAGAGGTAACATTTTAAGGTGGGCTGTATGTACATGTTAGATTGACTATGTGTTGTAACTGTTATGAAAGTCACTGATTAGAAGGAAAAGTTTTGCAAAGTGGGTCATGTAACTCTTTAGTTGGGAGGGAAGATCTGTACCATGCTCCTACTTTAACTCTTGATGGTTAGTCCCTAAGTGGGCATCCATGCAGATTTATTCAGGACAGATAGCCAGATCTCTTAGTTTTGTTGAACTGACAATAGAGACTGTCCTTTGGATTTGGGAAGATAGATTGAAAAAAAGAAAAAAGAAAAGACATAAATATATATATATATATATATATATATATATTTGGCATGGCACTAGTGGTCATGATAACCATAAAGTTTTGAGTCAAGTGTTAGAGATTGTATTTTCAGGTAAAACATTGATTTTCCTTGCTTGGTAACTTCTCTAACATAAAAACCTTTCGATATTTTCCCTGTGCATCTCATCATCTGTCCCCTCTGCCACCTGCCCTTGCATCATCTCCTCCTAACACCTGGCGGCCCTTCTTAAAAAGTCATATCCAGGTGCTTTTGTGTTTTCTCTTTTTCAAAATTTATATCTTTTTATCTGTGAACTACGGGTTGATTGTCATTTTGCATCTTAGTTTATTAAAGAACGTGGGTTTTAAAATATAAGGCTGTGGACACCCAGAGTGCTTGCTTCATCTCTCAATCATAACTTTTTATTTCTCCTCTAAGTACACAAAATCATACTTACTTCATTCTAAAGATTAGATAAAGTAGTTTGAAAAGCATGAGAGAAAATTTAGAAGCGAAAAATGTTCATAACAGAATGAGCAACCCATTTACTCCCTCCTCTTTTTCCTCTCTCCTTATAAAGGACTGGGAGAAAAACACGAGGAAGAACAGAGAGAATGCCAAAGATGGTTGCCACTGGCACCAGGATTGGCACCAGACCCTCTTTGTTTAGCTCAGGATGCCTGTGATTTGTTAGTTGGCATCCGCATTGCAGTGTGGAGTGATGTTACAATATATTGACAATTTCCAGATCTAGAAATGTCAATAGTCCTCTTGGCTATTTACAGATCACATCCTTCGTCGCTAATGGAAGATGAAATAAAGATGGATGGATAATAAACTTCCTTTGTTGACCAACTTCCCATTGCTTTTCTTTCTCCCTCTTTCTCTCTTGGTTCAACCCATACTTTCCCCCTTCTCCATCCCCAGCAACCTCACCTTTTTTGAAATGTGGAAAGAGTTACTGGAGCTTTGACACAAACTATAGTGCTACATCTGTATCTGATAGAGTTTTGGGGGAGAATTTATATATTTTGAAATCATTTTTGATACGTAGTTTATTAGGCTTTTGCATCACAGAGCAGTATTTTGTTCAAAGCTCAGTGTCTTTGTTACTCAGCTTCTTCCGTGCATATAGCCTGATGGACCGCAATCCAGTCCATTTTATTCTTTCTTTCTATTAGCAAAGGGTCATATTAAGTATAGTTATTTATAAAATTATATGCCCCCGCTTCACCTAAAATTTGGTAACTGATTTGGGAGTAACTATATTTAAGTTCATAAAATCATCTGATGCTATTGATTCAGAGGGCTGCGCTTCGGCTGTTCCGTTGCTACAAGAACCGCCATTTTGTTTGTGAAGTGCCAGGCGAGGGGAAAAAAAAAAGGCAGACACTGTGTTTGATGCCAATAATGGTTGCCAGTGGCACCGAGGTTGGCATCAGACCCTCTTTGTCTAGCTGCTGAATGCCTTTGATTCGTTGGTTGGCATCCGCATTGCAGTGGGCACACTGGAAAGTTTTTGACAATCCCTGAATGAAAGCTGCTGCTCGTCTGCTGCAGCAAAGCTTAGCTAATAGAAAACCTTTCCTTTTTTTTTTTTTCTTTTACTGCTTAAAAAAAGATCGTGACAGATTAAGGAAAAATAGTTCTAAAATGGGCTCCATATTCCCAAAGATATTAAAGATGTCCAATGATTCTTGGGCAGGTGGTACCTATTCCCCATATTGTCTTTGTTATTGCATTCATCAAAACAAAGCAAAGCAAAACAAAATGAAAACCAGCAAGCCTTGTACAGTACACCTTCTCAGGACACACCATCCTTAAAATACCCGGTAGGCTATGATAAGTGTGTGGGGACCTGCTAAGTGTAGTGACATATAAACTCACCCATTGTGACGGGCCGTTGCTTTCATTTACATCCCTATTTATTTCTTATTCAATTTCTAGTTCTCTCAATTTTTACACTTTTCTTTTCTTTTCTTTTTTTTAGTAGTTTGTTGAGAGGCCCTTCTTTCCCTTTCTTGTTAGTAAATGTATACAGTGAACATGTGAAAAACAGAAAACCTTGATGAGGGAACTACATGTTAAAATCAGTCATTCTTGACCTCCTCAGTTTTGTACCAAGATGTTGCCAAATTCTTAGTGCACAATTCCACATACTGGGGGAGTGAGTGAAGAGATGGACAATAACCAAAAGGCTAAAATAATTCTGCTTCAAGTTTCCTAGATAGCATTAATATTGCTTCCCGGTTAACCACCATTATCTCATTAATTAATAAAAAGGATTAGCAGTTCTACCCAAAGGGTAACTGGGCTTTTAGTGAGGCAGGGAGGGGTTTAAAGAAAAAAGAGGTCACAACACAAAGCTTAAAGATCTCAAGAGATAGTGTCTGCTGTTATGAATTTACCAGATGGGAGTTTAAAGCAAGTCAGCCTAAGTGAGTTTTGGATCATACTTTCCACTCAGTTACTAGACATGTTTTTGGAGTATGGCAGGGCTCAGCAGTCTTGCCTCTATCCAGAACAGGTAGCTTCCTTTAGCCTTGTTGAACCCTTAACATTAATTGTGATCTATTGTTGGAAGGCAACTTTTGTTGCTGGATTGTTAAACGATATCATAATTGAAGTGTATTTTGAAGTTGTGAAAGATGTGACTTGTTTAGAGAGGAAGTTGTAATCATTATTGTCTTTGAAACAGAACCCTTCCTGCTTGTCACATGGCATTAGTGAGGACACACATACAGAGCGATTTTCCTCCTTCAGCTACTGCAGCTTAGAATCCTTCTGGGTAACAATTATTTCTTTATGAAAAGCTTAAATAGATAATTGTTTGCAAGTTGACAGCACATTTTAACATTTTAATAATTTTCACTTCATTTGCAGGTATTTCCCATTGTGGGGGAAAATAAGCTTTCATAACTTGTTTAAATGAAGCTGCTCTGTGGGGTAATTTGGTGGGCTTTCATTGTGACATCAGAGGGAATGAAGTTTGTATGGATATATGTTTGATTTAGGAAATCACTGTTAAATTCTCCCATCCTGGTACCCTGTCCTTGACTGAACTTCTGAACTCTGGTACACATTTGTTTGCATTCTTCCTCATACACAATTCACAAGATAAAGAAGGGCTCTTATTGGTATGTCTTGCCCCTAGACTTAATGAGACCTTTGTTAGAACATATATTGTAAGATTAGATACTTAGCAATTTTCCCACTGATAAGGTCAAAACAGGGTCTAAGGGG